TTGCCATTAAACGGCCGGGTAAAGAATGCTCCCGTCCCCAGGGAGGGCCAGAGCCTTTTTTAAATATATATATATACATATATAGATATAAATATAGACTTGTCGTGGATGCTTAAGTTATCCTAGTTTCTTCAAACGTGCATTTGAGGCATGACAGGAAATCTAAAAGCAGAAATTGTTGTGTGAAATGTTATGGGCCACGATCAAATAGAACGGTGGAAAAGGCTTGAGGGCTGAATGGCTGACTTGTTCCTATGGGATGTTTAAGAGGAAGATAGGTGGGTAGGGAGTGTAAAAAGGGACATGGAATTAAAAGATCTGCTGCAATCAATGAGTCGGATGAACTTTTTTTTCTGTGTAATATATCAACAACGTGATAAGGCATTATATCAAATGCAAGTATTATTATTATGTCCTTGCGAGAATGGGATTCTTGTGTAATAATATAAATATTCCTTCCACAGATTATTATTATTATTATATTGAAGTAGCACCTTATCACGTCTTTGAGACATCTCAAAGCACTTCACACAGTATAATTTAAAGTGAATTGATTGTGTATTTTTGTGGGCGAAACGCGGCAGCCAAATGCACACAGCAGTGTCCCACAAACAGTCATGGATTGAGTGACCAAATTATTATTATTTTTGGACGGATTATTACCCCCGGAGAAGCAATCTGCCAATCCACCAACAGCCAGTTCCTACTTACTGCTGGGTAAACAGAGGCGTGTGGAGTAAGGAAACCTGCCCAACGTTGCGCCCTGCTCGGGAATTGATCCCAGGTCCTCTCACTTGCGAGATGAGTGCTCTAACCACTGAGCTACAGGTCTTCACTGTACTTTTTGTGAGGTTTCAGATTAACTCACGTTAGTGTGATTGGTCAAATGCTGCACTGCTTGCTCTCATGGGTAATGGGAATTGGCTAACGTTGGCAGTCAGAGTCTTCATGTTGCATTGTGTTCACAAATCAGCTGGACATGATCAATGATGAGCACTGTATGCTGACATCAAGACATTACTCTACCTGAAGAGCACTGTATAATGTAATTTACAGGGTCAGTAGGACACCATATATAGCAAGTTATCAAATTGAAACTTATTAAAAAACTTCACAATAATTACTGTGAAGCATATTCATTTTTTTATATTTGTTTCACTCTGTCAGTTTCACGTTTGCAATTTACTAACTGGCGATTTTGCTTTTTTTTATATAAGGAATACAGCAGTGGCTTTGGCAAAACATTGCACCAATTATTTTGAAAAAGTATTATTTAGAAGCCTGGAACTCAAAATCATTGGCTAATGTATCCTTAGGCTTCAGCATTCGCTGCAAAAAATAATTGGTCATTTGCTTCAAGGCTGTTTGTGGGACATTGCTGTGCACAAATTGGCAGCCACATTCACCCACAAAACACACAGTCACTTCACTTTATAGGGTGAGTTTACAATCACTTTGTAAAGTGCTTTGGGATGTCCTCCCAAAGTAAAAGGTCAAATAATAATAATAATTGCTGCTTTGATATAGCGCCTTATCACGTCGTTAAGACGTCTCAAAGCGCTTCACAAAATATATAATAATAATAATCCTTGCATTTGATATAGCACTTCTCATGTCTTCTCGACGTCTCAAAACGCTTCACAGAATATGCTGTAAAGTGAATTGACCGTATATTTGTGGGCGTACAATTGTAAATATTGTAAAGTGGATTGTAAAGTGTGTATTTTTTGAGTGGAGGGTACAATGGCACACAGCAGTGTCTCACAAACAGTTATGGATTGAGTGACCAAATTTGAGGTGAAATGTCAAAATACCAAATATAAAGATTAGTGTTATTATCAGGATGGACAAATACTTTGTAAAGTTTGAGTTTCTCCCATTACTGATGTCCTCATCTACAAAGCCCTCCATAGTCTCGCCCCACCCTACCTCTGTGACCTCCTAACCCCCACCAACCCGCCCGCTCCCTCTGCTCAGCCGGCTCCTGCCTGCTCCACGTCCCCCGCCCCACCATTGGCGGGAGAGCCTTCAGCCACTCTGCCCCCAGCCTCTGGAATTCCATCCCCCAATCACTCCGCCTCGCCCCCTCCTTCGCCTCCTTCAAATCCCGCTTCAAAACCCTCCTCTTTGACCATGCCATCGGCCACCCCCCTTCCCCTCCCCTCCCTTCTCCCCCCCTGACCCCAGCTCAGGTCTGAAATGCTGTACTCTGGTCCAGCACCTTGGGACGTCCTCCCGACGTGAAAGGCGCTATACAAATGTAATCTTGTTGTTGTTGTAAAGTGGACAACAGCACTAATGGAAGTACAGCATATCAGTAATAGCCCTGCCAAGACAGATAATGATTTCTTCCTCCGTTGTAAACACTGGATCTGATGCTTTTTTCATGTCACTTAATGTGGATTCAACCAGCAAAGCACGAACTTGACGTCCTGCAATGCTCTGGACTTACCAAAGTGTCGCTCAAGATGGGGTCATGTACATCGACTTGGCGGAGAGATCACCCATTCACATGGCTCTCACCATTTCCTGTCCCGCTGTCCTCCTCCGACTATTTACAAGTGCGGCTTGTTCAAGGGTCGTTGAACTCGTTGGCAGCTATAGGTTTTCTACAGAGAGAGAGAGAGAGAGAGACCAGCGCTGTTTTATTATAATAATAATAATCTTCATCCATGTGTTTTATGTAGCACATTACCACTTTGTTGAGATGTCCCAAAGCACTTCACAGAATTTACTGTAAAGTGTAGTGACTGCTTAGTTTTGGACAAATGTGGCAGCCAATTTGTGCACATCCCATGAACACAATCCAATACAAAATCACTTTTGTTTAGTGCCTTTCACCTCGGGACGTCCAAAATGACGCCCAATTTTATTTGAGGGAGATTCTTAGCCAGGACAGTGGGGGAGCACTCCCTTTTCGATTAGTGCCATGGGATCTTTAACATCCACCTGACCAGGCACAGAGGGGACCTTGGTTTAACGTCTCCTTTGCAGGATGGCACCTCCAGGCAATGTAGCACTCCCACAGCACTGCACTGCAGTGACAACCTAAGCTGCGAGCTCAAGGTCCTGATACGGAGCTTGGTCCTACGACCTTCCCGGGCAGGGCGAAAGCTTAGGCAAGTTCCTTACTCCATGCGCCTCTGTTTACCTAACAGTAAATAGGAACCTGGATTGTTAGTCAATTTGTGAATTGGCTGTCTGTTTTGCCACTAAATACACAGTCAATCACTTTACAATATATCCTGTGAAGCGCTTTGAGATGTCTCAACAACATGATAAAGCGGTATACCAAATGCAAGGATTATTATTATTATTATTCTGCTCAGAGGTGACAGAGTTACCGACCGACCCAGGCTGACACCTGTCATTGCATTGCTAACTGCAAGCGTCGTTCCTTTGCTCCAGTGCAGACACAGATGCATCCAAATGCTCCAGCAGCACAGGGAGCAAACCAGCTTACGATTGTAAAATGTACTGTTCATTAGCTTTTTAATTAAAGTTGCAAAAAGTATTGTGGTTAGATAATTGCAGTTCACTGTAGAAACTCAACGTTGTGCCTGGAGCCCAATGGATGCTGGAATGCTATGGGCGGGTGAGTTCGTTTTCGGACACTAAAAGGAAAGGAGCCCTTAGTTTTGCAAACTCGTGTATTGTTTCAGAGCTCTCTTATATATATATATATATATATATATAGTGTGATTCAATTACAAAATTAAATCTAGACTTTAAAGCAAAATGCCTGTGCCAGTTCAGGTGGATGTTAATGCTCCTGTGATACTATTCAAAAGGAGAAGAGCTTCTCTCCTGGTGTCCTGGGTGACATGAGAAGGCGCTGCCTCAAATGCAAGAGTTATTAATAATAATAATAATAATAATCCTTGCACTTGATATGGCACCTTAACATGTCTTCGAGACGTCACAAAGTGCTTCGCTGAAAATACTGCAAAGGGAATTGACTGTATATTTTGTGGGCGAAACTATATTATTGTGTTTCCATCCCAGGTGAGCCCATGCTGTGTCGTCTTTATTTCCCAACCACTTCTATCCATCCAGTCTTCCAGCTTCTACCACCTAGTGGAGGCAATGCGCTACTAACAGAAACAGGAAACCATCAGACAGCACTTGGCACAATTTTAGGAAATATCTTGTTAAGTTTTTTTAAAAAAATCTTCACGCTTAAGTATGCCAGTAAAATGCTTAGATAGTTCTTTTGATATTTATCAGGAGAAAAGAAACGATTGTATCTTGATTGTGAAACCGTGAACAATGTAGTATTTAACAATTACTGACAATACCTTAACCAGTATTATTTTTATCAAAAAAAAGCTCCGATTATTTTCGGAGAATTCTCTCTTCGTACAGCAGAACCGTTTTAAACAGACGTTCGTAAATATGATGAATGATTATTTGCCTGCGCTTTGATTCTTTCCATTAGACCAGCGGGAATCTCCTGAGAGAAATAATTCATACAAGTATAGCTTAAAAGGAAGTTCGATACAGTGAAATCTTGTTACTCCAAAAGCGCTCAATGTAACAGATGTTTTTTTCCCTCCTCGTCTCCTGTCTTGAGTTCTGTTTCGTAAACGAGATCAAAGTCACAAGTTAACAACAACCACAACAAGTTAAATTTATACAGCGCCCTTCACATAGGATAGCGTCTCAGAATGCTTCCCAGTGACAATGTCGAATATGGAGCCAGGGGATGGAAGTGAGTGGGGCGGGGAAGGCAGGTGTATCAAATATAAGTTTTATTTTAGTTTTAAGAGGAGCTCATAGACCGATTTGGGGTTTGACATTAGATTGTCAGCTTCCTGTTAGTCTTGTCCAATATGTTGCCTCTGTGCTGTGTTTAGGTGCATTTCACAATGGCATCACTTGAAGGAAGTTAGCTCGAGTTCAGTCCTGTTACGCAAAAGGTTTATTTTAAGCAGCTCAACCTGAACCTGTGTTTGTCTTTGTCTGTACAGGTCAGTAAAGATGTGGAGCACTTTCTGGGCCCCTCCAACGAGAGTCGTTGGGACTGGCTGAGAAAGAAATTGGGTCCCGGCAATTTGACATCGTCCGAACTGGAGGAGGTTTGAACCGCACAGAAGCAAGTCATGCCGAAGGTAAATAGTTAGAGAATCATAGAATCATAGAATCCTGCAGTCACAGAAAGAGGCCATTCAACCCATCGTACCTGTGGAGGCTCTTTGAATCATTAATCCCACTTCCCCGCTCTTTCCCCATAGCCTTGCAAAAAAAATTCTTTTCAAGTAAATATCCAATTCCCTTTTGAAAGTTATCATTGAGTAGTTTACCAGCATGTTAAACATGGAGAAGGAGTGAGAGGTTTGCTAACCCCGGGTGGGATTAGAACCTATTACTTTGTTGCGTTGGGCAGTGTTTTTAGGTGAAAGCTTCTGAACTGTGGTTACAATCAAAACTGGTAACACTGCTCAGTTCAGCTGTCTGCGTCTCCGAAGCAACAATATGTTAACATGTTGATGTGTGTAAGGCAAGGTGTTCAGCCTGGCTCAGTTGGTAGCACTCTTCACTCTTCAGAAATTTCTGGGTTCAAGCCCCATGTTGAGACTTTAAATTCATGTCGCAAGGGAGGGACCACCCTCTCTGACCCACCCATCCACCCCCAACCCCCGCTCAGGTCCTAATCCCTGACTGTTTAGCGCCTTGGGACGTCCTCCCAACATGAAAGGCGCTTTACAAATGTAATTTTGTATTGTATTGTATATAGTCTTAGACTGAGACCTAATTGTAGTGCTGGGTGTGTGCTGCGTTGTCAGAGGACCCATCCTTTGTTGGGAAGTTAAATCCAAGCTCCGTCTGCCCGTTCAGGTGGGCAGTAAAGATTTCATGGCACCATTCGGAAAGAGAAGCGAGTTTCTCCTGGTGTCGTGGTCAAAAGAATTAGTCATTCACTACATTGTGAATGTCTGTGAGACATTGCTGTGTGTAATTTAGCTGCTGTGCTCACCTACAAAATGCACAGTTTCTACACTTTGCAGTATATCCTGTGAAGCACTTTGTGACTGACCTGCTGGCGTGAAAGGTGCTGTATCAAACACAGGGATTATTATTCATTTCATTTTGGATGGCTGTGAAAAGAGCTGAGGACCTGATGAGTATCTGGAGAAACACTTAAATGTGTTTTGGGAAGGTGAAGTGTGTTGTGAATTCAGGGTTTAGTTGAAAGAGGGAGAAATAAAAACACCCTGTTAATCTTTCTGACCAAGGTCTCTGGTGCTTTGTACATAATGTATTGGGTTTACCTCTATTGCACTCTGACCCACGATTTAACAACTTACATCACAAAGCTTGCCTCCTTCCATTGCCATAGTCTGCGCGACTTAATGCCTGTGTTGTTTTAGTTCTGCCGATGCCTCACCCATTTACCCAAACGCAAATAGCAGACGGATACCATTCCTGACATCTCCCAATGGCTGTGTTTCCAACCTGATTGCTAGTTATTGGTGGGTGGAGAAGAGAGCTGTGGACTTGCTCTTCACCCAGTCCCTCATTCCCTCATTGCAATTATCCCGTTTTTACTCGGTGCCCACTTGCATTTGAAAACATGACATTGAGGAAGCCTGCAGCCACCTAGTGGGACAGTAAAACAAAAACAACAACTTACATTTATATAATAATAATAATTCTTGCATTTTTGATATAGCACTTTTCACGTCGGGAGGATGTCCCAAAGCGCTTCACAGAACACACTGTAAAGTGAATTGACTGTATATTTGTGGGCGAACGCGGCAGCCAATTGCGCACAGCAATGTCCCACAAACAGTCGTAGATTGAAAATGCCCAATTTAATTATTGTTTTTTGGTTTTGGAGGGATTATTATTAGGCTCTGTGTGGAGTAAGGAAACTTGCCCAAGGTTTCGCCCTCTGCCGGGAATTGAACTCAGGTCTCTCGCTTGCAAAACGAGTGCTCTAACCACTGAGCTACAGGACTCCACATAGCGCCCTTCACACAGGGTAGCATCCCAAAACGCTTCTAGTATAGAATTCGGAGTCACTGACTCAATGTAAAATCAATGTAAAAGAGTTGCTAATTGTAAATTAATTATTTATAAAAGCATAGAGGAGTTAGCCCTGTCCAAGAGCATAGTCTTGTGATCTTCCCCCCACCCGCTCCCCCCACACGCATACACTCTAAAATTATGCATGCAAGTCTTTACTAATCAAGGTGATTGAGACTGAAAACTGCACCGTTAGCAGAGATAATAATAATAATAATCCTTGCATTTGATATAGCGCTTTTCACGTCGGGAGGACGTCCCAAAGCGCTTCACAGAACACACTGTAAAGTGAATTGACTGTATATTTGTGGGTGAACGCGGCAGCCAATTGCGCACAGCAATGTCCCACAAACAGTCGTAGATTGAAAATGACCAATTTATTATTGTTTTTGGTTTTGGAGGGATTATTATTAGGCTGTGTGTGGAGTAAGGAAACTTGCCCAAGGTTTCGCCCTCTGCCTGGAATTGAACCCAGGTGTCTCGCTTGCAAAGCGAGTGCTCTAACCACTGAGCTACAGGACTCCACGAGATGACCTAGACCGGTTGGTCAACCATTGTCAATGCCTTGGAGCACTGCATATAATAATAATAATAATCCTTGCATTTGATACAGCGCTTTGCAGAATATAATGTAAAGTGAATTGACTGTGTATTTGTGGGCAACATATGGCAGCCAATTGCGCACAGCAATGTCCTACAAACAGTTGTGGATTGAGTGACCAAATTATTATTGGTTTTTTTTTAGGGATTATTATCCCCAGAAAAGCGATCCGCCAATCGACTTACAACTGGGTTCCTACTTACTGCTTGGTAAACAGAGACATGTGGAGTAAGGAAGCTTGCCCAACGTTTTGCCCTGCCCAGGAATAGCTTGCGAGGCGAGTGCTCTAGCCACTGAGCTATAGGACTCCACTATAAATATATATATATATAAAATCCACTTTACAGTATATAATTTGAAGTGCTTTGAGACGTCTCAATGGTGTGATAAGGTTCTATATCAAATGCAAGGATTATTATCATCATTATTAGTACTGTGGACCTTCCCAGACATATCAACCTTGGAGACGGGTCAACCTGTAGTGTTGCATTGAATGGAACTTGAATGGAAATATAGTTCTGAGCTGAGTTTACGTTGTGATAAGGCGCTATATCAAATGCGAAGCTCATTATTATTATTTTATTAACAGCACAGCAGGGCTATTGCCAGAACCCAATATTTCCCAAGGGATCACTCGGTGGAGAGCAGCTAATTAGATGTGGTACTGCGAGGCTACAAGGTTGGTCTGTCCCCCAAAGTAGATGTGTCTGGGAAGGTCCACATTAACATTAACAATGGTTGGATCATCACTGGGATATGAGAGTGTAGATATGTCCTTAGCCATGTGAGCCCAAGCCCCAACTCAAAGGGTAGTCCTCCCTTATCACTGCACACGTCCCACAAAACTCATTCCTGATTCATACTTCAAGCAATCATAGTTTCCATTATTCTTATATACTCTTCCATTCTGTCGGGAGATCACCAAACTTGTCCTCTCTCAGGGAATCATCCACTACAAATCCCTGTGCCTGTGCTCCCAGCACCACCCGAGTAATTGCCTTTCACAAAGTGGAGCTGATCACGATTCCAGTCGAAGCAGATTGTCTGAAAAAGGCCACCAATAAAGCGTGGCACCAGGGTTTGTACACCGAAAAGTCATGATGACTACCCTATTATCTTAAAAAAATCATAATTATTATTAGACACTGTAAGGGTATCACGACTGTTTGGTCAACCTGTACATACAGGGCAGCTTGCTTATCCACGCTTGAGAGATCTCAGTTCAGTTGTAGGCTTGTTGGACATTGGATTACGCATTAAAATTATGCTTAGTAGAAAATGTGTGTTTTTTGTGGAAGTTTACCAGGCCAGAGATGTTGTACCATTGGTCAGTGCTAGCCTGGGGATTTCAAGGGATTACAATTTTCTGACTTGCCTGAAACTTAACGACAACTTGTATTTATATAATACAATTGCCTTTCACGCAGGGCAGCTATATATATATCTATATATATATATATATATATAGACAGAGAGAGAGAGAGAGAAGGTGACCGTAAGCACGGTCGAAGAGGAAGGTCTTCAGTCATGATTTAAAAGAAGGAAAGGAGGAGGCAAGGCGGAGGAGAGAGTTCCAAAGCTTCGGGGCGTAGTGGCTGAAAGCACAGATGCAATGTATTTTATTTCTCCCCAATAATTGTTCAGAAATATTAATCTTTCTATTCAATTTGACTTTTAGGCCTAAACAGTCTATACTCTTCCCATATTGCTGAAGCTGCCTTATACTCTGGATGCAACAGGTATCTATCAACTGGAAGTGATCATAATACACAGACTGAAAACACAGGAAATACACTTGCTAGAGAGAAGGTGGGTAAAGCCCCATTTTTCTAGGGACTGGGCCTATAAGGCGGCAATGGCAGGTGTTGCCACTGATGACCTAAGTCAAATCAAAATAACAAAACAGAAGGAAGATGCACAGAAGGTTTTAGAAGCCAAATGGAAAGGGAAGGAGTCAAAGCCAAGGAGAACCCTTGAGTGCCTCATCTGTGGAGCATTCTTCAGCAGTGTTGACAAACTTAAAGTCCATTCATACTCTCACACAGGAGAGAGACCGTACAAGTGCTCGCACCCGGAGTGCACTAAAGCCTTTGTGTCCAAGTATAAACTTCTCAGGTATGGGAAGCTGATTTGGGGAAACCTGTTTATCAAATGTTATTTAATCCTTTGAGGACTCGATTCCTTTGCTGAAATCTTTATATTACAGACTTTCCTTTTCCCCCAACAACCCCCCAAAAAATGGTTTTCAGATGATATTCTGCGAACAAAATTCAATTTTGTCCGATTCCGATACACAATTAGAACGTTTGAAAATGCAAATACACATTTACTTTATTCCCCTATCCGATTTTGCTGAAATCTTTATATCAGAGATTTTTCTTTTGTTTTTAAAAATGGTTTTCAGACAATATTCTGCAAAGAAAATTAAATTCTGTCCGATTCCGACACAGAATTAGAATATTTGAAAACGTAAATACACTTTTGCTGTATTCCCCCACCTCCCAGCCCCTGGAGAACCTCAAAACGTGTGAAAGATATTTTACCAGACATTTTGCAGAAATGCGATTGCAGTCCTCAAAGGGTTAATTTAAGGTTAATCTACACCTCCTCTAGGCAATAACAAGGTTTCTTACCAACTGTCTGCTAGAGACCACTCCACGTTGGACCAGTCACTCGTTCAATTACTTTTTCTGCAGGCAACGATGTCACATTGTACAGCAAGGGTATATTATGCTGTTGGACCCACTTTACAAAGTAAAAAGGCATCAAATCATTTCCCGCTGCCATTTGTGTCAGCTTCTGAACACGCACTTTTGAAATTCTGCATTGTGAATACTGACTAGGCATCCCACGAGACATCCATTGAGGATTTTTTGCTCAGTGGCCAGTGTGATACTTTGGATTGATATCCTGAGTTACCATTTCTCCTCCTTCCCCCTTAAATCGCCCACAAAAACAACATTGTGTTTCCCTCACAAAATATACAGTCAATTCACTTTACAGTATATTCTTGTGAAGCGCTTTCAGACGTCTCAACGACGTGATAAGGCGCTATATCAAATGCAAAGATTATTATTTATTATAAATCAAACATCATCTGTACACAAACTATTTCAAAGTGGGATAGGGACATTCAGTGCAACTGAATACAAAATTCTCTCTTCCATCTTTTCTCCCCCTCCCGCCCCCACCCTGATCCCTCCCCCTCTTCAAATAATAAGTTATAGAATGTCACATTTTCATTCTTTACACTGCGCAATGTCCTTCAGGTCCTTTCTGCTGAGGGCCAGCTGCAGAGTTTGGAAATAAAGGGTTCAGAGTGGTCTGGCCCATTGTTTAAAAGCGTGTCAACTTCTGAACACGCATGTTGAAATTCTGCATTGTGAATACTGTCTTGGCATCCCACAAGACATCCATTGAGAAAGGTTTTGGCGAAACCACTTGGAATAGTCTACCTTGTTGCTGGCTACTGAGCTATGTGGCATGTGCTTCGTCGGGTGGCTTACTGTGAGTGGAAGTATTTTGAAATTATGCCATTACCTTGGATTTCAGAGGTAGATTTTTGCAGTGATAGATGTTTCCCCATTATCCCTTTCAATCTCAGTTAATGTCAAAACGTTTGTGTAATTCCGAGTTTTCCTGCAACCTGATACAGCATTATATATTGTTTTTGCTTACAATAGGTGTGACATGTACAGTAACATTTGAACAGAACTTTGCAATATTGTAACAATATTTTAAAGCAAAGTATGTATATATAAAAATATTATATATAAAAGTTTAGTATAAGTAATTTCTTGTAATCATAATCTGAAGGATCTCTATTGCATTAATGGAGATTAAACCAATTGCTTAACAGTAGTTTACATTTAATTGCAAAATGACAGTTAAAAACTCTAATATACGTCGACTTAACCAATATGTCGGCAACTTTTATCTGCAAGCATTTTAATGTATAACGTGTTGTTGAGTACATCCATTTTCATTGTCTCTTAAAATGGACAGTAAATTATATTTATATATTATATACAATTATATAAAGATATCCATTCCTGATTTTTGCCCCAACCTCCGCCTGTTAATTGTAGGCACATGGCCACCCATTCTCCACAGAAAACACACAAGTGCACCTACTGTGAAAAGATGTTCCACCGGAAAGATCATTTGAAGAACCACCTCCAGACGCACGACCCCAACAAGGAGGCCTTCAAATGCGAGGAGTGCGGCAAGAACTACAACACAAAGCTGGGCTACAAGCGTCACTTGGCCCTGCATGCTGCCACCAGCGGCGACCTGACCTGCAAAGTGTGCCTTCAGACATTCGAGAGTACAGAGGTCTTGCTCGAACACCTGAAGACCCACTCGGGCAAGTCATCCAGCGGCGTCAAGGAGAAGAAGCACCAGTGCGACCACTGCGACCGCAGATTTTACACTCGCAAGGATGTCCGCAGACACATGGTGGTGCACACAGGCAGGAAGGACTTCCTGTGTCAGTACTGCGCTCAGAGGTTTGGGAGGAAGGACCACCTGACCAGACACATGAAGAAGAGTCACTCGCAGGAACTGTTGAAAATTAAGACTGAGCCGTCAGACATGATCGGTCTGGTCCACTCCAGCCCACCCGTCACCGTGAAGGAGGAACTGAGTCCCATGATGTGCATGGCTTCCAAGGAGGCATTAGGTAAGCCATTTACAAGTTTGCCAATGAGCATGTACAGCCCTCACATTCAAGCCATGACCAATTCAGGATCACCGCATAGCCTGGTTGCCAGTTCCCTAGCCATGGGAATGGGTTGCCAAATGGAACCTCCAAGCCCTCTTCATTCACCGCCTCCCCAACCCCCTTCTAAGTACCAGCTCGGATCTACCTCATATGCCACTGCTCTGCCTGACAAGCCAACAAAAATCGAGATGGAGAGTTACTTAATGGACTTAAACAGCGGTTTGCCTCTTTCATCTCACGACTCCCAGCGTTCGCCGCCCAAAGTGGGTTTGGACTCGCAAAGCGGGCCCCTGGATGACATTTCCGGTGAGCATTTGCTCTCCAAAAGCCCCGCCATTATCGCCGAATCCCTCTGTACAGCGAACATGGACTTCTCACACTTGCTGAGCTTCTTACCACTGAACCACCCGACGTACAATCCCCCTGTTTCATCAGGGGGGCTGATCATGGGCTATGCCCAAAGCGAGCCCCAGCCCTCGCTCACCTCCCTCCAGCCGCAGCTGCAGGACTCGCAAGGAACTGGCCTGAGCCTCGGCCCCCTTCATCCCTTGTCTCCGGTCTTTACCACCAGCCTGAACACCACACTGCCACGCTTTCACCAGGCCTTCCAATAGACTGCCTGCCGTTTGGGCCCCTTTTTTTAATCTTTATTCAGCAATCTGTAAAGCAAGGAAATGTTACTGAAACGCACAAAACATTCTCAAATTCAAGGAAGGCTGAAAGCTTTCAGGATGCTTTTAAATATAAGGCAACTTCCGTTATTCAAATCAAATCCACAATACGATGGAGTTCTTTAATAATCTATTGGCGACTGACGAGGCACGGCGAAGTGACAAGACAGTTGCTTTCTACGCTCTAATATGAATACAAATCCACACGAGGGCGGAACGTATCCGAACTATGTGAAAAGTGGATGAGTTTTAATGTGAAATTACACCCTGACAGCTTACATGCATTCATTCATTCATTCATTCATTCATTCAATCATTCATATATTTTTAACGTATACGGAGGAGACCTGTTACGATAGAAGTTAGTTGGCGAGCTAAATTTTTTGTTTGTGTTTGAAGTAAAATTACAGGGAAATTAATGACGGATGGGAAAAAAAATAATATTCGTTAGGTATTATGGCATTATTGCAAACAATGTATTAATCTGGGCTTTGATAGCCATGCTTGGAAATTGCCTCCAAATTCTTTTGTACAATACGTCACACAGACAAGAGATGTGTGGAGCAGAAGTTGCACAGTGAAAACGATTTGAGGTTTGCTAACTACCCAATTCACACGCAGTTGTACAGCCCTTTTAATCCCCCCCCCCCGCCCACAATCACCCAGTGATTAAAACAATCCATATATTTCATTGTTAAAAAAATACTTTTAATTTTATTTTACAAATTGAGGTAATCGGTGCAAAACGGAAGTCAAGATCTTACAAAAGAATTATTGACGGTGTTAATCAGAGAGCTGTATACCTCCAACTAGTTGTTGTATTTACGTACTGGGATATAACAAATGGAGATTTTCTTGTCAAGTGGATATCAACCCCACGCCACAGGTTTTCCACAAGTGGGAAGTAAATGCTATAGCTTCTTTGATTGACAAGCATCACAATGTTTCTCAGAAGGGTAAATATCACGTGTTGATGACCCGTCGCTTCAGCCTGTGGTTGACACCTTAAGTAAACCTATTATTTTTGCTGCATTTGTGCAGAGCTGGCACTTAGAAATCACACAGCGATCTGGCTTTCGCGAGATTTTGAAAGCTAACAGTAAGTAGCATATGTTAGGCAAAGTTCAAGTGTTTTTTATCATTGAAAAAAAAATCAGCAGTGTTAATTTTTGCTGCTGAATTACGTAGGGTACAGACAAAGCACCTAACATGCCTGAGCCCCAGGGCTCAGGAAACCTTTCCATTTTTGAACTCCCTGCAAGTACTGTACAAGTGTTGCTTGCTAAATAGTTAGAAGTAGCAGACAGCAGTGTTGAAGGAGAAAATGGTGAGCAAGGCAAGGCAGACTTGAATTCACTCCGTTTGGAAAAAAGGTACATACAAGCACAAAAATAATCACTGCCAATTGATCAAAGTTAGCTTGATGCACATTTTGTTTAAAAATGTCGCCTAACCATTTTATTAACCTGACGCTGCAAAATTATTACCTGATGCACCCAGATAAGTGGAACAGTTAAATCTAGCATTTCGGAATAATAGCCAGTAAGTGCTTACGGTTTTCCTTCCAACACTAATTTTGCTTTTAACTACCGCAAAGAAACACTGAACCTTCTCGAGTTCTCAGCTAGATGGGGAATATTGTGGATCATTATAAAGCAATTAGCTTATGATATTTGAATTATCCTGCCTTTACTTTTGAATAATAATCCTACAATTTTGCTTCTGCGTATTCATTTAGACCCCACTTATCTTCAAGACATTATGATATTCCTCGGTGTATAAATACTATAATGCATATTGTAGAGGAGATAGCACCAAATTAAGTAGTCGAAACACATCAAGCTTAATACATTCTTGATTATCATCTGCAAGAAATGCATTTTTTTGGCTTGTAGATATAGTCTATTAAATAAAAAAAGCATTGAATAGTTATACTTTTAATTGTAGTGAAAAATGTACTATGGTAATTTTGTACCTCCTTATATTTAGGAGCTGTGAGATTTAGAAAGGATACAGAACAGGGTGTTTGATTTAAGAATTGCCTGATTATATTAAGTCGGGGTCTCTTAAAGAAAGATTATGTTTATGCTTGTGTTTTTAATAATGTAAAAAGATTTTTTTTTAGTTCTGTAACTAGTTTTTGCCTCTGCTGACAGTGCCTTGGTCTGGCTCCAAAGAGGCTTTGAGCTATTTTGAATCTTTATTTCACAGTTCACTGAGCAGGACCTCACAAAGACACAACACATCACCTCATTGCATGTTTCTTGCTATAGGCCTAGGAGAAAACCAAACCTGCCTTACAGTGAATTCGGACACAAAGTCATTTCAGACTGACACAGGCTCAACAGCAGTGCAAAACATTGATCCCTGTTGGTTCACGACAATATAATTCTACACAATTAGATACATATTAGTGTGTCTAATATGACTAGAAACTTCCTTTGCTAAATCTGGGGCTGGGCAATACGATTACCAAATTACTATTTTTACATTTTTATATCGAAAAGTATTTTCTTTTGTGGCCAACAGTGATTTATTTTTCAAACAATGTAACTGGTTTGCAATAATACATCGTGGCATTACTCAAATCATTTATATGGTGGGAAAATATTTCAAGAGGGTTTCCAGTTTGGGGGGAAATTTTATAATGTGAATCAATTTTGGTACCATTATTTTAATTGGAAAATTATACAAAAAATATTTTCAAGTATTATGCTGCCTACAATAATTACTTTATATTGTTCTGAACAACAAATTAAAAATAAGCCCAGCAACGCTGTGTATTACCTGTGGACAGACCTATTTTCTAGTTGATATTAAATACTTTTGAAACCACATCGGAAATTTTATTTGTATTGGTGAACAAAGACATTTAAGAAAAACTGTGAGTGAAATCCTTCGATTTATTCATTGTAAGGCTAAAAGTTCCTCTTATGGCTGGTAACTTGCTATCTTCTAGCACTTTCAGAAACCCTCATAGGAAATGTATTTCTTCTGCACAACTGGTAATGAGTCTATTATAAAATTAAGTGCCATTAGAATTATTTTGTTAGATTTATTAGTGTTCATTATGATAAAAAAAGAGCATTACAGTATTTTGTATTACTACCATTCAGCTGCTCTGTGTTGTATTTAATACCCAAAACATCTGATGTATAAATCACCATTGTGTATAAACTACAGTTACTCTCAGAAATCCTCTCTCTCTCAGATTCTTGAGTGCTGTAATCTCTGACTTTATTTTAATTACAGTAGTACTAAAAGTCTACGTCAGCACTCAAAAGATTGAACAGCTGTATTTTGGAGATGGTCGAAGAGCATCTCGTTCACTGTATATTGACAGATGTTTACCTGTGATTTATACATCAAATGCCCAAATAGTCAGTGTGCTTCCATAATTGCACAATTTCTCTATATTTTGTAAAAAAAATCCTTACAGTTAAAAATGTCATGTTCTATATTTGTACTGATATTTTGGGACTGAACGAAAGCAGATCAACATAATGTACCTACCTGGTTGGAATTGTTTTAAATTGTGCCTATTCTCAAAAGATTATAGACTCTGGAGGGGAAGGGGAGATAAAGAGCAAAATGGAGGCACAAATACTTGTGTTTGCTGGATTGTTTTTTTGCAGTGGACAACTGAAGGCTTAAAAAAAAGTTTTGCTTGCTCACAAATCACTAGATACCGTTCAAAATGATTCTCGTTCGAATTCGTCCACCTGCCAACACTCACCCAGGACTAAAGTGAATGTGTAAAACACTTGCTGCATACAAGTCCATGTAGAAATGTCATTCGATCATTAGCAACAGTAAAAATAATAAAAAGGGCTGCTGTGGGGGGGAATAAAACAGTCCATTTTGTTCCTTTTCTTTGTGTAGTAAATAGTAATTTCTCCCCTCCCCCGCATTTTGTTTTTACGTCACTGCATTCTGTTATGACAGGATGGTTGTTGCATATGGTAATCATTATTTTTATATAGCATTTTATTTACATACTACTGGTATTTGTACAAAATGTATTTCAGGTAAAGAGCAACATAATCACATATTTTTACACGAGTGTTTTATCAGGTTTCATTTGCAATCTGTTGCTGCAGTTGAATTTTGTTGGACATTTGTATTGGTAGATCCAAAGAAAAGTATTTCAGCAAATGTATTTACTTATTGTACATTATACTTTTTGACTGCTACCATGTTATTTTGAACAATTAAACTATGGAGCTTCAACTGCTAAATATTCATCATTTCCATTATCTTTCACTCCCAACAATTTGTTTCAACTGAATGCAAAGAAACATAATGCCTGTATTGAGACCCAGAGCTTTATGGCAGTGTTTAACCTGTGTTTCTCGCTGGTAATGTGCATGTGTGTATTAACACATGGATCAGAATTTGCTCAGTCTACAGCCTTGAAGAATTTCTGAAAGGTTTTCCCCTCCAAATTATTCACCATCATTGTGCATCTTCATCCGCCTGGGACAACTAGGTTCGCAAGCTTCTTTTCTAATCATTGTCAGTTGTGACTCTGGTCATTCTAACAGAAGGAACAAATACCCAAGGCATGAGATGAGGTAAGCTTTTCTGTCTGCTACTCCAACACTCCTCTTCACCCTCTTTCCACCCCCCCATTTTGGTTTTAAAAGATGAAATGTAGACCATGGATAAGCTGTTTTATCTTGTACTGAACAGCAGAACCAGAAGACACGGCCTGCGATGAAGTGGGATAAATTCAGAACAAATCTGTGGAAACACTTCTTCATTGAGCGAGTAGTAAAAATATGGAACAGGCTCCCTAATGAGATGGTGGAAGCAGAAAGTGTTGATTCTTTTAAGAACAAATTAGATAGATAGTACAAAAGCATAGCACCTTAAAGGAAAGTTGACACTTTTATTTTATACTGGACATTCTTATATAAAGAGCAACATGCCATCTGAAACAATTTCATAATTGGGTACGTACAGTGCCTATGACCGAAAAGCAACAGTACAAAATTGCATTTATTTACACCATTACATGAAAGACGTACATAAAAATTAAATGGGTCCCATGAAACCACTCTGTAGGAAAACAAAATCAAATCACAGAATTTGAAAACCAGGGAAGCCTTCAAATATTTTGAGATGTGTATAACTTAAAATGAAATCACAGTAAACTTTATACCACCCCTTTTTTTGCCCTTTCGAGGGCCGTTTTACTACTTATTAAACAGAAAAGATAATTACTGCACAGGAACAGTAAAAGAAGAAGTAATTGATCTATGATACGCTAAACAGCCAAAGACACAGAGGCATCTTGGGTTCTGGCTGAAGTCAGTGCAGAATTTTATGACACCTGAACAATAGATAGAAAACGCAGGTCGGGCCTTCCACCATCCAACAACTGCCCCTGTTCTTACCAATTCCGTCTCTCCCCCTCTACCCCCCACCCCTCACCACAGTCCAATTTTGATCACAGGTTCCTATCCAAATAACATTATTTTCAAACCCTGCTGCTCGCATTTCCAAATTGTGGGTCAGTTAAAATGGATTTCCGTTTCAAAAAGAACACACTTACTTTGCCCAAAACAATGGGGAAGGAACAACACATAAAGCGCCAAATCCATGAAGTAATAAGAGAGCTGTTTTTATCATTAAAAAAACCCTTCCCTGCTATATCTATCTATACTATTTCACATGCACTGCCTACAGACAGAAAAGTGCAAAACTGTTGTGCCCACCACAACTCCTCAGTGCTTTGATTGATTGCATGCCATTAAAAAGAACAAAGAGGGTTGTGATGGGGAAACACATCAAATTAAGTCATGTTCCCACCGAATTTCTTTTTTTCAGTTATGCAGATAATATCTAAAAATGCACAAGAGCCTCAGTAAATTGAAGCCCAGGACCAAATTGCTAACTACTCAATACCCACACAAGCTGATTCCCAAACTCAAAACCGCATCTTTGCATTTTAGCACAGACAAATCCATCTCAGTTTTTATAATGTACATAGGGAGGGCATACAGCAATTTAAACACTTCAGTTATATGGTTTACTGTTTACAGGAAGTTTTTTACATTAAATTTTTTAAAAATTAAAATAAATTGGCTTTACAAGTTTACAGGCAAATCTAAACTTTTACTTTTGGTGTACAATCTAGATTAGTTGTTTGGCTCAGTCGCAATTCTATTCACAAATGCATTCAAGATCAGGTCCATCTCCAGTGGATGTGAAAATGCTCAGGCAGGAATTGCCGCTACTCTCACGTCCCAGGTTTTATATCCAAGGGATATCCCACGCTTTAAACATTTCAGCTACTCTCACAAATCTGTTCAAGCAAAATACGCTGTTTATAATGATGAATACGGTGGACCAAAGCTAACCAAGGTTTAGTTACACATACTTCCGAGCAAGATTTGGGTTGAAAATACATTTGAGTAAGGTATGAAGCCTCTCATAAGATGCTGCAACTCTTCTACTTATTAAAAAGGTTAACTCTTAATTCTTCCCCCCCCCTCCCCTCATCCCCCGTCCCCCATCAGTTAGTTAGGTTGTGTACAAAATATAAAGAATGAACCGCTCTGCACAAACTCAAAATGGCACTCGATACGACATTCTACGAATCCATCTTTGCAAGTGGCCTCAAACCTGTTTAATTGCATTCTGCACAAAAAATCTCATCGCCACACTTAACTGCAAAAATGCATGAACATTTATGATACAACCGCTTCAGAGGCAATAGATATTTCCAGTAAAAAGATCTTTTTTTCCCCTTTTAAAAAAAAGTATGCGGAATAACCACACACGTGACGAAATAGGTAAAAGCTCATTTAATTGATGTAGTGTCCACAATGGTACGTAATGGGGGGAAGAAACAAAGCTGGAAATGGGATCCTGATGGCCTTGTACAATGAATCCTATGCGGGAATCATAAATTATTTTTTCTCAAAAGAAACTGATTTTTTTGTTTTCAAAACAAAAACAGCACGGGCGTAAATATATTATATAAAAAAATGCCTCTGAAAGCAAATGACAATATTACTGCCTGATGTATTTTTCCTCCCATTTGTGAACACCACAATTACCCAAATTGAAGGAGTTTTTTTTCTCCAGAAATTATATTCTTCAGAATCAAGAGGTGCTTGCCGCCAATATGTTCATCATTGTTTAACAGTTAGAAGGCCCTTTATAGATACAAACTGCTTAGTTACGAGGCTGGGCTTTTTGTTTTCAGTCTATTTTCACAGCCGCGTAGATTTTGCGTATAAACATGTAAGCAGCATAGAATCCGATCGTTCCAGTTAGCAGCCAGAAGGAGAGAACCATGAGAGTTGTGTACCCAAAGTACAACAATGAAGGGATAAACTCCACAATATCCAACTGCAAGAGACAAAATAAACTATTAGACAATTCCACATTATTATTAATAATAATAATAATCCTGGCCTCATCCCATCGTTGAGACGTCTCAAAGCGCATCAGAGAATATACTGTAAAGTGAATTTACTATATTTTGAAGGTGAAATTCCGCAGCCAATTGCGTGCAGAAGTGTCCCATGGATTGAGTGACCACANTTTTTTTTTTTTGAAGTGTTAAAAGGTTAAAACTTGCCCCCAAAAATATGCACTCACATAGTCTGGAACACTAAAAATTAAAACTACAAAGGAAAACCAAACAATATTTGACCCGTTATTTTTTTTCCCCTCAATTCATACCTTATTAACAAAGTAAAATACGGCATAAACAAGGACATAAAATGCTGATCCTCCAGATACCAAGAATGTTCTCCACCACCATCTATAGTCCTGAAACACCAATGGAAAGAACAGATTAAGTTCAAGTTTTCATTTGAATTCTTTTAACACCAAACCCTCGAAAAGAACATTTCAAGTCTAATCTCCATCCCAACAAATGCAGGCAGCACCATGCTCTGAATACATTCCATATCCATGTTCGGGAATGCGAGTGTTATCGTACATTTTGGACTTGTACAAATGTCAGAGCAACAACAACAACTTGGATTTAGATAGCACCCTTCACACAGGGCAGTGTTCTCAAGTGCTTGAAAATAATAAGCTCTGCATCTGATATAGCACCTTGTCACGTCAAAGTGCTTCACAGAATATACTGTAAAGTGGATTGACTGTATTTTGTGGGGGAAACTCGGCAGCCAATTGCGCACAGCAGCGTGGATATAGTAGTGAGATACACACAATTCCGATACTAGCCCTGACATAAGCAGCTTGTGCCAACGAGAATGAGTTTCCCCTTCCCTGCTGAGCGAGAACAGTCATTTTACAGATGATAAAAACACAGGGTGCACGCACGGTATTTGTTCTTCACATTTTCAACTGGCTTCTAAAAGTCGCACCCTCTCCCATCCCTGTGCAGCTCAGGGATTGGGCGGCATATAGCTACTGGGATTAATAAGGTAACAGAATAGCTCAAAGTCCTTGACAAGTGTAATGTGCACACACCGAGCAGGGAGATGAGAGATTTACGAGTGTTGACCAAAGGGATGGTTGATGTTTTTTAGGAGTCTTTTAAAAGGCAGGGAGTGCAAGGGTGGGAGGAAATGATAGTCATGATCTGGGAGTCTGTCCAACAGGGCTGTTTACCAACTAGGTCCTGAACTCATTCCAGTCTTAGGCCCAAAGTCTGACCCGGCCACACAGATTTTGGCTGCTTGTGGCGTTGGGAAAATTTAGTATCGTAAACAAACAATCTGATTCAGCAGAATTGGCACACAAGCCCAGGGAGTGTTTGAACACACTTGATGGGAGGAAGCGGGCAATTGAGGACGCCAGATTCCAATTCTGTATTGTGATTAAAACAATGAGAACATTCTCCCAGTGACCCTCGTGGAACGGGTTTTATGATGAGAATATATATTTTTTTAAAAAAAGGCAAAATTACGCTCGACTTGTTTTATGTTACAACAAGTCGCATTTATATAGCACCCCTCACACAGGGCAGTGTCTCGGAGCGCTTGCCAGTGGCGGAGCACGACGAGGGAAGGTGACAGTAGGCACGGTTGAAGAGGAAGGTCTTCACACCCAACAGTTGGGGAAGGACAGAGAGCGGCGGAGGGATAGAGGAAGAGTGTCCCAGAGTTTGGGGGCATAGTAGCTAAAAGCGTGGCCACCAATAGTGGAATGGAGGGCACATGTGGAGGCAGCGAGTAGGTAGTTTGGGAGTAAGCAGGTCGGAGAGCTAGGGAGGTGCCAAGGCATGGAGGGATTTGAAAACCAGTGTTAGGAACTTGAAATCTGCTGAGATGCAGGAGGACCGGTTTAATCTTACCTCTGCACAGAGTTGGAAGTAAACCATGACGATGCTTATTTGGGAGCACGACACGACCAGGATAATAAAAACCAAAAATAAGAATCCAAAGAGGTAATAGAACTGGTTCTCCCAAATAGCCTAGAAAACAAACAAAAAAACTGCCTTTAAATAATCTACATTGATCGATTAATGAGTCTTTTAAACCACTATTTATTTCAGCTAACCATTAATTCCAATTCCATCCATTTGAAAAAAAATTATAAATTCTGACATGCTTCGTTCGGGGGATGGGGATGAGGGAAGTTATATAAAGGACTTTTTTTTAAAAAAATACATTAAAAATTTAAGCCCTGATTCAAGAATAATTGGTGAGAATTGCTTAGAGTAATTCTAGACTGGTTACGAACAGGAGCAGTTATGCAATACTATTACACAGAAACGTGTTTGATGTAAACGTACTTACACTGAAAATAAAGAAGAGCTCAATAAACATGGCACCAAATGGTAGGATACCAGCCATTAGAATTCTGTGAAAATGGAACACAATTAACCTGTTTAATATCAAGTGTCAAACAAACAAACGCGTTATCTGTAGATATAGAAATCTTTACCCCAAAGTGCTGTGTGCTGACTTGCAAATACTTAACCATTCCAGCCTTTGTCATAGAATAACATCTCACTGAGCATTTGCTACCCGTGGCCTTCACTCTCTGCTGTGGAATTTAAATCTTTTGACTTGCTTTCAGGCGCCTTGACAATGTGATAAGTTGCTATATCGAAAGCAAGGCTTGTTATATTTTATTATGTAACCCCTTCAATGCCAAAACAAGTTTGTTCTACAATTGCACTCTCAAGTCAGATTGCCTGTGAGTGAGCAGTCTGATGGAAACCAGTGAACAGTTAGTTCAGTTTTGGTACAAAAATACCAAGACTTTCTAGAATTCAACAGGGTCTTGCATTTTCCACTTCTGAAGCTTGAGATCAAAGCGCACCTCAGGGCAGCAAGTGCTAAGTACCTCTGGAGCCAACAGAACGGTTTATTTTATGGTGCAGTGTTGCTGCCAACAATACAGTGAGAAACATTGGGGACCGACGCAAGAATCTCCTGACAGTCTGTTCTTTAGTCATGTCTTAATGATGCCAATCCAGGGAGAGGGGGAAGGTGACCATAGGCAACAACAGTAACATGATTACATTTGTATAGCACCTTTCACGTCAAAGAGGAAGGTCTTTAGGTGTAACCTGAAAATGGGGACAGAGGGGGTAAGGCAAAGGGATTGAGGGAGGGGGTTCCATCGCTTCGGGGTGAAGTGGCTGAAGGGATTATTATTAGGCGTGTGGAGTAAGGAAACTTGCCCAAGGTTTCGCCCTGCCTGGAATTGAACTCAGGTCTCTCACTCGCAAAGCGAGTGCTCTAACCGCCGAGCTACAGGACTCCACAGGGTACGGGGTACAGGATACGGAGTTTGGTGCGGGTGAGAATGCGGGCGGCAGAGTTTTGGACGAGTTGAATTTTGTGAATAGTGGACGACGGGAAACCGGCGAGGGAGGCCCTTATAGTCCAGCCGAGAGGTGACAAAGCGTGGACAAGGGTTTCAGCAGCTTGTAGATTGAGGTATTGCCGGAGACGGGCAATGCGGCGGAGGTGGAGGCAAGGACCGGATGTGGGGGAGGAAGGATAACTGGGTATCGAACCTGACGCCTAAGTTGGGCATGGGTTCAGAGAGTTTTAAGGACAGATCGGGTAGATTGAGGCGGTCTGAACCGCAGGACACAAGATGTCGATGGGAGCCAAAAGAGTATGGCTTCCATTTTGTTGACGTTTAACTGCAAGAGTTTAAAAGTGTGTTATAAGGGTGCAGTATTTCTTTCTGTAGCATTATATGAATTTTAGAAAAAACAGCCTGCTGCCAGGCATCTTCTGAATATTCTTTTGAAAAACCTGTAAAGTCAGAATATAGCTTTTTTATTAGACATAATGTACAAAGGCTTGACGAGAACTACGCCCAACCCTTCAAAAGCAATCAGGTGATCAGAAGTACTGCATTTTTCTAGCCTTTATAGGTGGAATTTAACCCTAACTTCAAACAATTTTTTTGTTAAAAACTTTTGTGAGTCGTATTGCATGAACGTACAAATAAAGATTCTAATATACCTAAAACATTTGCAAGAAATCAGATGCAAATAATGCTTTTCTGCATTGGAATGTTTAAATACAACAAAACTACATTTGTATAGCGCCTTTCATGTCAGGAGGACGTCCTCCCACCTCCATTCAAACTTACCCAACAAATCTGTTCATGTACCACCTCTGTTCAGGAACTTGCCGGGGTATTTGATTGGTTCGCACAGGATTATCATACGGTTGCTTTCGGAATCCAAAGTAATAGCCGAGGTATACTAATGGAAGGGAGATACCAAACCACATGCAGAGAAGGGCCAGCATAGTAGGGAATGGAACCTTAAACACAGGAACAGTACTAGTCGTTAAGAGAAGCGAGGGAGGTTTTCTTCACACATGAGGCCGTGCAACTGTAATTGGGAGCAATGACAAATTACAGAAGCACATTTTATTCTGTTAGGGGAAATGTTTTGTAAAATGTCACTGGCAAAGTCTTTGAAATTTAACTAGATGAATCTCCACTTTCAGGTCAAACAGACCAGCTGGGCACAGTTTCGTTCTGCTGCTAACAAAGCCAAAAGCTGAATGAATGCCTGCAACCAGCCTCTATTGGAGGCACCTGCAAACACTTTGCTTTTGTGTTGCTTTTTACCACCTATTTGCTTTCCCACAGATTGTGACAGTGCGAGTAGATGGCGGGGCAGCACTGGGCAGGAGTGTGGACTGGCAAAGTAAGTCAAGACTTTTTCTGGTGATGTAACATTTTGTACAACATTAACTGAGAAATTCCTTGAACTGAGAAACACCAGTTTCTAATACTTACAGCTCCTGATGAATGTTCTCCCCAGATGAAACAATTCAGGATGAAACACAATCCAAATACAATGCTAGGATAGAGGGTAGCAGTCTGCAAATAAAGGGAAAATTATTATTGATGAGTAAGATATAGAGACGTACTCAAACCTTTGAGATTGAAATTTAAGATTTTTAAATGTATTACAGCTTTATTGTAATAACCTTTATTTATCTACGAATAAAGGAACACCTCAAAATGTTTGACCAAACGTAGTGGTGAAGACTGAGCAGGTAAAAAAAAATGTTGGAAGGCATGGTTTGAAGAGACAGGTTTTAGATGGATTTGCAAGGCAGAGGGTTAAAGGCAACTTCATTTGGGAAGGGCATTCCAAACATAAGGAGAATAATACTAAAAAATAATAATAATCCTTGCATTTGATATAGCACCTTATCACGTCTTTGAGGCATCCCAAAGCGCTTCACAGGATGTACTATAAAGTGAATTGACTGTGTAGATTGTGGGCAAAATGCTATGATAATACTTGCATTCAATACAGCCTTTTCATAAGAACATAAGAATTAGGAGCAGGAGTAGGCCATTCGGCCCCTCGAGCCTGCCCCACCATTCGATAAGATCATGGTTGATCTTCAGACTTAACTCTAACTACCTGCCCTATCCCCATATCCCCTAATCCCTCTATTTTTTAAAAATCTATCAGTCTCAGCCTTGAGGTCCGGAGAATGTCTCAAAGTTCCTCACAGGATTTTAAGTACAGTGTAGAGACTGTGTATTTTGTAGGTGTTTAGCAGCTGATATTTCACAATAGATGGCAAAATGGAAGGAAGGAGTGAACATTCAAGTAAACTGGAACAGCGGCTACAGCTTGTGGAGGGTGGAGTGGGAAGAGGAATGAGAGGAATTTTTGAGGTGAAAGGCAAGGGTGGGATAAGATGAGATGGTGATTTGAAGATTTAACAATATAGAAACCGATAAGACTAAACAGCAGACTCCAGAATGGGCATTAGATAGACACGCAACAAGTTACCCAAATCCTGGTCAAGCTAACACAAAATGGTTCAAAAATATAATTTGGAATAAAGCCATGGGTCATCAAACATACTTACGCAAAAGGCACCTTTCCTCCATCGGTGACCTTTTAGAGTACGGTAGAGACGGCCAGCAAAATAGCCACCAAACAACCTGAAAATTAACACAGCAAACTGCTAACTGTGGGATTTGATCTCCCTCCTTCAATAATAATAATTCTTGCATTTGATATAGCGCCCTTTCACATCGTTTTTGAAGGCGTAGCTACAAGAATAGCCCAGGATAAAGTGCGACTGTGCTCTTAACCATGAACGTTTTTGCAAAATCCATCTCTTCCCTGTATTTTTGTTCAGAGGATTAGGTCATTATGTGGCCTTAACCCAGAATATTTTTTCCAAGTATCCTGCTGTTGAGGATGGCAGAAAAGAGAAAGGGGATACACCTCCTCATCACTGAGCTTTATTGATTTATTTTACTCAGAACCAATGTGAACATCAAGGTGAAGGATTGAGACCCAGAGTGGAGTGAAAAGGACACGGTGGCAATATAGTGGTGCAGCGACATGCAGCTTGGGCTTTAAAAGTGTCAAGTAGGGAAGATTGAGAAGGGATTAAGGATCCTACAATCTTGAGGTCATCAAGAAAGAATGAGCTAAGAGTAGAAGGTGCAGAAAGAGTAGAGAATAGTGCAAGGAGCTTTGACTTTAACTCGGAGCAGTGCAGGCAGAAGATAATGTGGGATCATGCCTTCGGAGCTTGAGGATATAACAAGGGAGGAATAAAATAGAATGAAAGAGACTGAAGACTGGTGAAAGCAAGAGTAGATGATGAGCAGAAGTAAAGGACCACCTATCACGATTCTGCCTACGGAATTAATGTTGCACAAAAGTACATCCTCACTCACACAGCGGTGAAAAAAACACTGGCAATCACTATCCTCGTTAAGAACCAAGCTCTTCAAAAAGGCATCTCCCAGAAAGTCCCCCACTTGCATTATAGTTTCCAATCTGTCTGCAGAAGCTAAATGAGCAAGAATCTAAGTACCTCAGCACTTGCCAAACTAGGAAAGGAGTCCACATACCCCATAAACATGAAGAGGAAGCAAGCGGTTGTCATCAGCGCTCCTCGGCTGGATGGTGACAGCATCCCCAACATGGCAACAACTGAAAATAGAACACATTGGCCACAATTATCCATACCATGGTCAATTATTATAATACTAAGTATAGTAATCCTTGCATTTGATATAGCCCCTTATCACATCTCTAAAATGTCTCAAAGTGCTTCACAAGAGTATACTGTAAAGAGAACTGATTATATATATTTTGGGCAAAACGCGGCAGTCAATTGCGCACAGCAGTGTCCCACGGTTGTGGATTGAGTGACCAATTTGTCTTTTTTTGGATGGATTATTATCCCCAGAAAGCGATCTGCCAATTGACTAACAACTTACTACTAGATAAATAGAGGTGTGTGGAATAAGGAAACTCGCCCAAGGTTTCACCCCATCTGGGAATCGAACCCGGGTGCTCTCGCTTGCGAGGCGACTGCACAAGTGAGAGCGCCCGGGACTCCAAATGAAACACATTTACCACATTAATCCAAGCCTCAGTCAATTGTACCAAATCGTTATTTAGTTCTGACGGAACAGTGACCAGATGAAAGATACTCACTGATTACAATCAGGACCATACAGAACAACTGGATACCAGATCCTAACAGAGAGCTGAGGATCATCGGATACTGAGGTGGTCTGAACACATCACCATGGACCAATTTCCAGCCAGACTCTTCCATTGTGTCCTCCTGCAAAGCAATGCATTTGTAACAAGGATCAACACCTAAGATAGAGTTTAGTTGTATGTATAGTAACCCTATCTATTCTGACCCAACAATATGATTTATCCCCAAGTTCAAGACAACACCTTCTATGACACCACTCTCGCTCACCACCCAACCCCTAACCTATACCTCTTTCCTAATCTCACTAAAATCACTATTTTGTAGATAGTTTATGTTGTGAACATGTTCCAGGCAAACAGGACGATCCCGATGCTATATTTCTCTTAAGGGCCCTCCCATTCTCTCAATCCAGAACCCATTTGAGATTAATCTTCAAAATACATACAATGTCATCTTCTCTGTTGTAGTTAGCAATGTCCTTCCTTAGAGTCCGGATGATGATCATGCTCAGAATTCCTTTTGGGAAAAAGAGGTAAAAGAAAGGAAAATTAGGATTCACGGTACTGAACAAAATAAGAGTAAATCCCTGATAACTCAATCCTGGCTTAACAGTGCATGTTGAAAGGTTTCATTATTAAATCATCCATCCTGCTGTCAATATCCCAGCCATATTTGTTTATGTACTTATACACATGCCTAACTCGCCACTCCTGATAACTTGTCACTGAACCCTTTTCCCTTAGAATGACGAATTATCAGTTTACTGATCAGGAGTTTAATTCTCAACAATGCAATAAAGGCGCTGTATCAAATGCAAGGATGATTATTATTATTAATGTTCTGCACACCTCTTCTGAGTGGAAGATGAGCTGACCACTGATTCCCTAGAAGCTGAATTTCTAATCTCAACAGAACCGTTTGACAAAATACCTAGGTTTTCCTACAGTATAGTGTGAAAGAACTTTATTGAAAAAAAACTACACACAGGTGAATGCTCAATAAATGGGTATAATGTGCTGCATCTGACAAAGGACCTGCATATGATAGATCATGTTCAAATCAGCAATGTTCATCCTTACCTGATAGAAAGAAAACCACAACCACCGAGTTCACAATGGAGAACCAGTGAATCTGCACATCACTCATGGTTAAGTATGTATCCCAGCGAGATGCCCATTTAACAAGACTGGCCTGAAAATACAAATTAGAAAAATATTGCTAGTTCTCAAATTGAACTGCCTCATACACCGTGCCACATTATATATATGTGTGTATATATAACTTCTGTTAAAATTCTTCATTTTCTCCTCTCCTAAAGATATGGTTACTTGCTGAGATGTCAGACACCTCCAGTACCTGATCCAAGTAGTAATTCTTGACCACAATGGACATCACACTAAAGCGGTTCTCACCAGAAGTGCTCACTGGATGGGGATCAGAGGGAACCTGGCTGATATTTTTCGTTCCCAGCTCAAGCTCCCTCACCTGCTGTCCAGTGGAGAATCAGTTAACTCAGCATAGACTGGGAATGAGAGCCTGCGTCGCGATGGCTGAATGCCATGTCTTTGCCCACTATAGACATCGGGGGGACACTTGTACAGTTTTAAATGAATGAAAGTTGGCATGGCAGCATTAGAACTACTACCAGCCTCAATAAACATACAGAGTGACATGAGGAGCTGTAGAGACATTTAGCAGGAATACCATCTTCATGTTACTTGCTATGAGTTTGGAGTATATGAATGTTCTGCAAGTCACAGTAATATGAAATGTACACAGCATGACAACGCTGTTAAATCATGAAACAGTAAATCAATTAATGAAGAGTATTTAGAGCATTGTTCTTCCCAAACTGGTGATACAGGAAACTGCATTCTTTCACATCATCATCATGCAAACTCTCCAGGTGAAACATCTAAACTGAAGAGTGCACAAATGCACAGAACAGGGTCACAGATAATAATAATAATCCTCGCATTTGATATAGCGCTTTTCACGTCGGGAGGACGTCCCAAAGCGCTTCACAGAATATACCGTAAAGTGAATTGACTGTATATTTGTGGGCGAACGCGGCAGCCAATTGCGCACAGCAATGTCCCACAAACAGTCATAGATTGAAAATGACCAATTTATTATTGATTTTTGGTTTCGGAGGGATTATTATTAGGCTGTGTGTGGAGTAAGGAAACTTGTCCAAGGTTTCGCCCTCTGCCTGGAATTGAACTCAGGTCTTGCTCTAACCACTGAGCTACAGGACTCCAGATATGGGGTAAAGGCGGGTAATTGGAGTTGAAGTACAGATCAGCCGTGATCTAATAGAATGGTGGAACAGGCTCGAGGGGCTGAATGACCTACACCTGTTCCTATGTTACTATGTCACATCTGCAATTGTTGACGCTCTGCTTACCTCCCAACGAACAGAATAAGTAAAAAGGACTTCATTCTCTTTCTTGGGGTCAATCTCCTGGGCAATAGAGCCTGCAGCCTCAGGCAGGTTGCAGTTTCCCTTCTCGTCAGCTTTCAGGTCTTCAATAAACAAAAATATAATTCAATAAACAAAACTACAAAACAGAGGGCCCCATCTACAAAGTTTTGGAAACTCACTCAACAAGCGAGTCAAATATTCACTGAAGGCAAAAGATTCTTTCAGAACTGAAAAAAAACACTCAGTTGTAGTGGAACCCCCACCCACCCCCTCCACAAGATAAAATTCATCATTTGAATTTACTTCATCACCTTTTCCCATGTGGTAACATACACATAACTGAATACAGCTGGTGGGGGGGAGGGGAAAGAGAGGCATAATGCAAGCCCGATAACATTACTGTTGACCGATGCAGAGCCCAAAGTTTTTCAGTGTCTCGTGAAAATACACTTTATACAACACTTCGCACAATATAATGAACTACAATAATAATAATGTGATTACCTTCGTATTTAACACTTTGTGGTATAACTTCAAAACGCACCACTCTGTATGTAGGCTCCTGATCTTTCTCAATTTCTTCTTTATGGTAATACACAATGAAGGAGAGATGGTTGTGGAGGTAGAACTGGAAGATAAGGGCAATGTTTTCACAGTGTTCACAGTAGAAAAGTCAAAGAGTTTCTGACTTTCTAAAGATAAAGTTTCTAAAGTGTTGAGTAAAAGCTTGTGCTATAACTTCTTCCGAGTACCTGATCTCCAGAGTTCATCTTTCAACCCCTACCAATAGTTGGTCAATAGGAATTGTTACAGTATTGATATTTCTGTAGACATTTTAGTTTCATTTAGACTTGGTTTGGGCCCTAGAAATTTTACCCGAAGGCAGTGCAAACTCTTTTGCTTCAAATTCTCGTCATTTAAGTCTGCCATTTCAGGTCTCCGCACACAGCAGCCAGCAGCTAGTCAATGATGTCAGCAATAGGAGTTACTGGCAAGCAGTTACAAAGGATATCCCACTGATCAGCATCATTTCTCATCCTGAATGCTGACTTGCTGAATACAAGCTGGGAAGCTTCAACACCAGCCGAATGAGCTGGGCTGTAATATTTGTTCCCGTACTGAGCTAAATGCCCACATGGAATTTCTCGCAGTGTTCAAACTACACAACTCTAGAAATCTGTGCATGGTTTAACCTTGTTGTTGTCGACAAATCCCAGTCTGTAGCCGTGTTCGAACTGAACCTCCTTTTCTTTCTTCTTCTCTTCATCCTCTCGATTGGGGTAAAATTCTAAGCGTGTTGCAACTGGTAGGTTATCTGCAATTCTGTAACAAGAGTCACAGACAATAAATATAGAAATACTTTCAACCTGGTATTTCCCCAAGAGAAACATCTGTCACGCCAGTTCTGGTAAATTGTTTCAAACGTTGAAATTGCACCGAAAATCTCTTTTGACAGCATGCATAAAAATGCTACTTTTTGGATGAGATTTGATATCGAAGAGAAAGGAAAGTCTGGAGGGAGTACTTCTGGTTTGTAACTTTATAATAATAATAATCCTTGCGTTTGATATAGCGCCTTATCATGACTTTGAGACGTTTCAAAGTGTATATCGTTACAATATTTCTTACTGATTTTGAAATGCATAATATTTTCGGAGACAGATAAAGGAGAGTACTTACTTCTCCCTTCAAACTGAGAGCATCAACTCCATTGCAACACAACTGCATTTTAGTCATAAAGTGTCAGCTTTCAACACACTCCTTGAATCAGCTATGGGGCACTCTATTGTGTCATTAGCATACCCCAGGAGAATGAATACCCTTACAGCAGTAGTTTGAATTTTTTTTTACGCAAACCATCCTGCAATGCGAAAATGTTGGACAGGAAGAACATAATACTCTTCCTGGATCCTTTGCCTGGTGGGATATTTCACGTAGAAACCTCAGAACATAGAAGAGATTTCCGGTGAGAGCTGCACTTAATGACCCCTATCCCCTCCCCCTTGGTAAAAGGACAGAGTCTGATTTGACTTGTGGCATTAAGACAGCGGCTGACTCTTTTCTTTACTAAAAATTAACTCTACACAAGAATTTGCATTGAAGGTATTCAGAAGGTAAAGTACTTTAAAATTTGCTTGAACATCGCACTTCCACCCCTCCCAAATATTTCAACAGACAAAAGTTGTGCTCAAATTCCCTTCTATACAAACATATAAAAAGGCCACAAAAGATACACGTACAAATGAACATAATACTCTTCCTGGATCCTTTCCACGACCAGTTTGCTCTCTACTACTGTAAATTTGAGAGGCTTGGTCGGCGTTCCGCAGAGTACTTCACATTTCTTTTCAATGTTCATGTGTATTTCATACGGGGTGCTGACTATGCGATCCCCTCGTAACACTTCTCCTGCACAGTAAAAGATGACATTGTTTTTTTTAAACAAAAAAACACATTTGAGAGCGAGAACAATCATTTTGTGTTTCATGCCACGGATTCTCTATTCACAGATGTATTTACTTGAGGCATTGTGTGTGATGACAGTATTACCACACCTTCAATTATAACTTCCAAGATTTATGAGGTATCATATGCTGATCATGTGTTAAGGATTTTAATGCAATGTCAATCCCAGGACATTGATGTTATAGCCACAACAACAACTTGGATTTATACAGCGCCCTCCACGCCGGATGGGTCTCAGAGCGCTTCACATTAACGGATCCCGGGGCCAAGCCAGCGGGAGGGGGAGGAAGGTGACCAAAGGCACGGTCGAAAAGAAAGGTCTTCAGCCGAGACCTGAAAATAGGAAGAGAGGGGGCGAGGTGAAGGGAGTGAGGAAGGGAGTTCCAGAGCCTCGGGGCACAGTGGCTGAAGGCACGGTCGCCGAGGGTGGAGCGGAGGACTTGGGGGATAAGGAGGCGGCCAGACCTGGTGGAACGAAAGCAACAACAACAAAATTACATTTATAGAACGCCTTTCACGTCGGGAGGACGTCCCAAATGGCTCTGTTGTGAGGAGAGAGGTCAGAGAGATAGGGGGGTGCAGAAGAGTGGAGGGATTTGAAGACAAGGGTGAACTTTTAAGAACAGGGTTGCATTTCCAAATTTGGTTTCCACATTCTACTCTGTGAACTGACAGACCATCGATGAAAGATGCCATCCCAGGACGAGCAGCATGCAGAAATAGTCCCAGTTTGATTTAGTTCACAGGTGCTTTATAGGTTACAATCAACTTACCAAGGTTTTCTGCCTTATATTCAATTTTTTCTGGTCGACAAAAAGGGAGGGAATAATATTCATAGGGGAGCTGTGTCCGTGAACTGGTTAATTTCACAGCCTGAAACAAAGATTTCAGGTAAATGCTGGGCGCAACATCGAGTTTGACATTTTGTGTAAGTTTATCTTTAGAGGGGCAACCAAGCAAGTTAATCTGGATCTAGATTTACTTAAAAATAAAACAGCGGATCAATTACATTTTAAAAAGGTAAATTATACATTACATTTTCACTGAGCTAATAAACTTATAACTAGTAATAACAGTTAGTGCAAATGTCATTGCAGTTTGCAACATTGTCAATGTGGCAAACATTTGTTCTACATCAATGTCCTGATAACAGTCAAGTCTAACACAATCCTACTATCCAATCCTAAATGTGACTCAAGGTAGGAATCATTTTAAAGAAAAAGCCAAAATGTCATCAGACAATATCAAAATGTCACTTTAACTTTGGGGAGAGGAAAAAAAAATTGGTCCAAAGCATTTGTTATTTCTTTTGGTCTGGCCCTGGCACTGAATAAGAACATAGTTTTAAATATAAAAGATCAAAACCAAAACCTTTCAATCATTTTTTAAAAAATCAATGTGTAACTTTCCATTTGTTTTGGTTCATGCTCTGTAAATCGTCCCAATATCTGTAGTTTCCTAAACAGTATACAAATACATCCCTTCAACTTGCCAATAAACCTTCTGCTACTACTACTAAATAATAATCCTTGCATTTGATATAGCGTCTTATCACATTTTCTAGACGTCTCAAAGCGCTTCACAGAATATACTGTGAATATAAAATGAATTGACTGCATATTTTGTGGGCAAAACGCAGCAGCCAATTGCGCACAGTAGTGTCCCACAAATACTCGTGGACTGAGTGACAAAATTGTTTTTATTATTACTTATTACTATTAGTACTTATTATTACTAAGTTTTACTCTTACTTATTATTTTTAGTACTTATTACTAAGTAATGAAAATAATATTTTAATAATAATTTACACAACTATTTGTGAGGGACTGCTGTGTATAATTGTCTGCCGCTTTTCGCAAACAAAATATAATACAAAATTATTTGTGTAGTGCCGTTCACGTTGGGAGAATGTCCCAAGGTGCTGGAATATACAGTCAATACTCTTTACAGTATATTCTGTGAACATAAGAATTTGCTCGACAAAAGAAAACCAAGGTCCATCTAGTTTGCCTTCCACCGTCCTGGCAGTCGCTTGACATGTCGTGTCCCAAACTGTATACTGCATCCTGAGATATTATTTTCCAGCAGAAATCAATCTAATTTGTTCTTGAAATAAATGACATTTCTGCTTCCACTGTCTCCCTAGGGAGCGTATTCCATAAGTTTACTACTTATGAAGCGCTTTGAGACGTTTCAAAGACATGATAATGCCTTATATCAAAATGCAAGGATTATTATTATTATTACTTTTTATTATTACTAGGATAACATTAAAAACGGTTGTACCTTAATTTCCACAGGACGATTGTGATGGAAGTCAATTGGTGCCACACCCGGTACATAAAAACAATAGGACACATGCAGGACTAAGAGCAGTACCAATGGCCAGATTAGTATTACCTGAAAAAATAAAGGGATTAAAACTGGTTAACATGAGATCGGACAATGCCAGGAACACTAATAATGGTAGCACTTTTAAAACAATTAAAAGTTTGTTCAAGAATTTCTATAAATTTGCAAGATTACTAGTTGTTTGAAGCAAATATTAGGAGGAAGAAAACAATAAGACCATCATTGCGTTTAAAATGTTAATTATAATTCAAAGACATAAGCACATAGTGAACAGTAAGTCAAGCATCCGATGGCTCAGTGGGTTAATGCACCTTGTGGTTTACTGAGTTAAGGGGTATTAGAATCTGTTGTGTCACTCTGAGGGTCGGTGGAAACAGGGTATAGTCCCTGCTCCTGATCTCTATCCAGAAACTCCTGCTGAAAGTGCATGACTGGCCAATGGGTTTAGACAGGATTAGGTTTGGAGGAGGTGGCCCACAATCAAATAACCTGCTATCACTCACTGTCCATGCCAACACATGACGAATGATCACTTGAGTGAGGTACCAGAGGCTGCCTTTGCCCATGGAATAGTGCCCCTGCAATAGTTGCCACCTTGAGAAGAGAAGGGGTAACAGGAGAAAAAAATCAGAGGATAAATCAGAGAAAGGGTAGGGGAAAAAAAACCATTGGGAAATCATGTAGGTATCGATAAAATATCGACCCAATCAAAATATTTTGTCTGCAGTACAACGTTTAAAACCATCTTTGTACAGTCTGGCAAGAGTCACTGGGTTAATTTCAAGGACAGTGAGTTTTCTGAGGGAAACTACAAATCAACATTTTTAAAATGTATGCACTCATTCCTCAACTATTCATATTTTATTGCAGGCAAATTTATTATTTGCATTTGATTACAGTGCTTTACCATGTCACTGAGATATCTCAACTCATTTCACAAGATATACTGTAAAGTGTAGTGACTGCATTTTGTAAGTGAACACACCAATTTGCACACAACAATGCCCACAAACAGCCATGAGGTGAATGACCAATTCGATTGGAAGTGGGGAATGGAGGGGGGAATTATCGCCCAATAGTGCCATGGGATCTTTAAAGTCATCTGGATCTGTATACACCAAGATAACAAAAACAACCACAAACACTACACTAAAAAGTAAAAAATAACTTACCCTATAAGACATGCCCAAAACAAATTGCTGCAATACCAGTTTCAGATTACTAGAGGGAGCGCTAATCTGACAATTTACCGAGGAACTCCAATGGTAAACACTAGTACTGACTGATACAATGTTCATTTTACAGGACGCCCTACAGATACATTTCCAAATCTAGACGAGGTCTTCTGTGTTTTTATTCCAGTTTTACTACTTCAACTGAAAAGGTTTACACTTTTGTTTATACACAGTAAATTATAAAATTCACAGAGCGTTTCTTGAACATAAGGTAAAATAACCCATTCAGAGAAAATGCAAAACAATGCACTTTAATTATTAAAAAAAATACAAACTAGGTGCTCTGTCAACAATACAATTGCACAGCATGAAACCTTAGCTACTTAGAAATATTCATAATCGCAGGCTAAATATAACCAAAGTCCACAATTCACTGACCAATACTCAAACACTCATGACCAACCCCCTGAACTAAGCAAAATCCAGTATATCTCAACCATCAAAGTGCCTTTACAATTAAAAACAAATACAAACTCCTGACAACTGGGAGTGAGTAATAAATTTAATTTACTCAAGGGGGTTCAGATAATATCACAAAGTTTGAAATGGCAAAAGCCATGGATATTACATGATCTGAGATTAAAGTACCATTGTTTTACATCCAACGTTTTGTATAATTAACTATGGTCTCAATAAAATAAGTGTTGTTTTAAAGTTATGCTAAAATGCTACCAAATGAAGATTATAAGGTTCGCACACTTCTTAGTACAGCACTTTGTTCTTTTCCATTGTAACACTGAAAACTCTTACCAAGTCAATTGCAATCAATCTGGATTTCTTCCCTCCACTGAAACACTGAGAACGCAGCAAATTAGAATAACCCAACAGAATAAATATTGACAAATAAAATGTAACTGTTATCTCAATTTATACATTAAACCGTTCAGGCTGTGTAACTATTTTAGGAGCACTGGGGAAGGTGCTAGTTTCCCCTCAACAGAAAAATCAGAACTACGGCATTCATCATTGAGGCTTTTTCAGTTTCAGTTTTATTTTGGAGGGGGATAAAACACTCAACATTGAACACCCCATTTAACTCAAAAACAGGATTACAAAATAAAGCATTGCCAGTGTTGTCAGAAGTGATGAGCTCCCATCTAAACTTCTTTGTACAATATTTAAGTACTGAATCACTCACATCCATCCCTTATAAGCCATCAAACCTGTATCACCATCAGCATCCAAGGCTGCACTCTCCACCTCTCAAAGCCAGTCAGGAACCTCGGCGTTTTGTTCGACCCTGAGCTGTCCTTTCTCCCTCACATCCGCACCACAACTGGCACCGCCTTCCATCACCTCCGGAATATCGCCAGATTACGGCACTACCTCACCCCTCACGCTGCTGAAACCCTGGTTCACGCCTTTGTCACCTCAAGGCTGGACTATGGGAACTCTCTCCTCGCCGGCCTTCCCGGCACCTCCCTCCACAAGCTGCAGGTCATTCAGAACTCTGCAGCTCGTGTACTGTCCCGCACCAGGCTTCGGGACCACATCACTCCCACCCTCGCTCGCCTCCACTGGCTCCCCATCCCCCAGAGGATTGATTTCAAGATCCTCATCCTCACCTACAAGGCCATTCACGGCCTTGCTCCCTCCTACCTCTCCAACCTACTATCCCCCTACCTACCTGCCCGTACCCTCCGTTCCTCTGGCTCCGGTCTGCTCCACGTCCCCCGCCCCAACCGCCCTACTATCGGTGGTCGGGCCTTCAGCCTCTCAGCCCCGAGGCTCTGGAACTCCATCCCCCAGTGCCTTCGCCTTGCTTCCTCCCTTTCCTCCTTCAAGGCCGGTCTCAAAACCTTTCTCTTTGACCGTGCCTTCAGCTCCCCTCTCGACTCTCTTCCTCCTCCTCGCTCCCTCCCTTCCCTCCCCTCACCCTGACCATTTCCCCCTCCTCTCTCCCTCCCTTCCTCCCTCACCCTGACCATTTCCCCCCTGCTCGGGTCATGACCCAACTGTGCAGCGCCTTGGGACGTCCTCCTGACGTGAAAGGCGCTCTATAAATGGAATCTTGTTGTTGTTGTTGTTGTATCATTCCTATCCAGCATTGCGGCACAGTGTGGGTCACGTAAGCAACTCCAGCAAAAAGCAACGCCTATAAAATAACCACTCACACAGAAAAGATGCAATTGTTTAAATGTGGATCCTGTGTGTAGAAATGGCCTTGCAAGCAACATAATAGGGGCTTGCTTCTGCAGCATTCGTAACAGTATCCAGTAATGCAAAACTCAGTACTATTCTACAACGCAAGTACATTGCATCAATCTGAAGTTTCCGTAAGGCTCATAAAGCAGCAGTCGAAACGTTAATTAACATAGATCACCAAACAAGATGAAGGTAGTAAGAAGTGTTGTGACCCAAACTGGACACAAGAGCAATTTATGTGATCAGTATCCAATCTTTAAAAATGCTGATGAACCACTCTGAAAACTATAAAGCAGTTAGCTTGACAGCTGTCATGGGAAATATACAGGGATAACACAAATTAAGATCCAGCAAAAATCAATAAATCCACTTCAATATGGATTGGTTCAAACACAGCCCAAGTTTATTGGTAATCTAAGGATTTAACAGTAGTGAAGAAGTGATCAAAATGATGGTTTCTTGGGGCATTCACAGGGAAATCTATTCAGTTCACAACTCATGGCCAAATGAAGCTCATAGAGTTCAAGATACAATTGCAAATTGATTAAGTAGGAAACAGAAGGTTTTTAATCCACCGTAATAGATCACATTAGATATTAGCTGCAATGAAGATCTATCAGGGATTATCTGGAATTTCTGACCAAGATTATTTGAGTACAGAGTCCATGAATAGCAAGTTATGTCAGAAAGGATATTTTAACAAGACTGTATCTAAAGAGATCTACACGAACCAATGAAGAATATGAAGGATAATTTCAGGACAGATACTAGGAAATATTTCTTTCCTAAAGGGTTAGAATTAGTTGGAATGGTTACCAGGAAGGATGGTAGAAGCTGTGCCAATGGACGATTTAAAAAATGGCTTGATGCTGGTATGGGTAGACAGGAGAATAAGCTGCAAGGCTGAGAACAAATGGAACAAAGAGCCTTCCTCATTGGAATACTTTTGTGAACAGAGTAAATCAATCCATGACGAGAAATGTAAAGATCAAACAGTAGCATGGCTCTGCTACTCAATGACGAAGCTAGCTAGGTACCAGGGCCGTTCAATCATCAGTGAGATAGAGCAACACATAAGTGATTTGAATCACATTAATAATTGATATTGGCACCAAAGCAAGCAAAACATACATCAACACATTATGGACACCAAGCAATGATTTTCAAGCTGTAGTTTATTCACAGCTTTCAGATTTTTTTTTATAAATGATTCATCCATGACCATCCCCGTTATCGACATTTAAATCTCTCAATTATAATTACTGTCTTGTAGTCACTTCCAAATATGAGTAACCATTTTCTCTTCACATTTAAACTTTAAACTCCCCCAAAAAACTAAACCTGATGTTAATGCTAACTATAATCTTAAACGGTGGGTTTTTAGCCATGGAGTACTAAACGGAAGCTGGTAAATTATACAGTGTGAAGTCAGACATCAGCACGATGAAGGAAAGGACCTATTCATCGAATATCCAGTCAAGTAATGATATCAGTTAATAATCCCTTGAATTTTTTTAAAAAAATAATACTTTAGTCACTATCCATGACTCTTTATGGTACACTGCAATTTACGTTGCAGTATACTCTGTGAAGCACTTTGAGACGTGTTGAAGACGTGATGAGGCACTGTTTCAAATGCAAGGAACATTATATAGTATTATAATATCCATTAAATACAAATTAAGGGGTTTCCCTGTTACTAAACTACTATGTATAGCAACCGTATAACATGATACTTTATAATAGTAGTTATTTATAAACATCAAAAATTAGAAGACTTTTTCAGATTATAGTTTTAATACTTTTAATAAGGCGAGTGTTCTCACCAATACGTTACAGGACTCGACTCTACACAGTGAAATGGGAGTTCTGCAGCTTGGTTGCAGCACTCGCCTCGCAAGCGAGAAGGTTTGATTCACAGGCAGAGCGAAACCTTAGGCAAGTTTCCTTACTCCACACGCCGCCTGTTTACCTAGCAGAAGTAGGATCCCGGGTGCTAGTTGAAGTAGCAGATCGCTTTCTGGGGGTAATAATCCCTCCAAAATAAATAAAAACACTCAATCCATGTTTGTGGGACAGCGCTGTGCACAATTGGCTGCCACGTTTCACCCACAAAATATAGTCAAACCATATCTTTGTGAGTCGATATGCCAATCGACTAACAACCGGGTTCCTACTTACTGCTATGTAAACAGGCGTGTGGATTAAG